ATCATGCTTATGGAAGGGAAAATTCCAAAGACGTAGGTTCTGGAGGACAAGCTTCTAAAGATGATCAAGTTTTTGGTGGAAATCATGACTCTAAGGTTGGACCTTCTGAAGGAGGAGCTTCTGAAGGAAATTCAGCCTTTGACGATGATCATGACTCTGAAAGTGGAACTTCTGAAGGCAGAGGTGATCCAACTTTTGAAGATGTTATTTCTGAAGGTAGTGGCTTTGACTCTGATGATGATTCAGACTCTGGGAATTTTCAAGACAATCAAGGTTCTGGAGAAAGTCAAAAATCTGAAGCAAGATCTTCTGAAGGGGGGAGTTTTGGTGTCCAAGATTCTGAAGGTCCAATTCAGAGGGAACAAAAAGTCAGAAGCATCCCAAGAAGATTTGCAGAGTTTGACATGTTGCAAGACACTGAAGTAAACTTTGAAGGAGAAGTTATTCAGTGTGCAATGTTAGTAGACTCTGAATCTGTGAGTACGGAAGATCAAGTTCATAATGGAATAATAAAGGTTGTGCACTGTAGCACCCAGAAGCAGCTGGCAGATGTTCTGACAAAGGCTATCAAAACTGATCAATTTTTTGGTTTAAGGGATGGAATTGGTGTTTTCAGTTTTTGGTAAATATAAATTAAGGGATGGTGTTAGAATTAATTTAGATTTAATTAGATATTAATTTATATTTAGGAATATCTTTTAGATTGTTTATATCTTTGTTAGAAGATATATATCTTAGATCTTCTTATATCTTTGTAGAAGATATATTTTATATTTAAGTTGTGTGTATAAATAGCCTAGTGGAGTAGGTTATTGTAATTCATTGTAAATCTTTATTTTGAAGCTATCGGTAAATATTCCTTTTGTCTTTTATCTTTCTTGTGCTCCAACAAATGTGTGTGTGTTGTGGATCACTTGTGAATGTTCTGATTGACAATAAAATACATGTTTGATAATAGTATTTTTATCACATACTTATAGCTTATTTTCTATAAGTTATTTCAAATAACGTTTATCTTATAGGTTATAGCTTATCATTTTTCTCTCACTTTTATCCTTATTATTTTAACTAAAATTCACTACTATATTTTATAATTTATTTTAATTTAAAATAAATAATTATATATTAAATATCTTTTATGTTATTTTAATTTATCAATTAATTGAACCACTAATTTTACCAAACATTTCAATTAACTTATTATCAACTATAAGTCATCAACTATCAGCTATAAGTTATAAATTCTCAGTCATCAATCATAAACTATAAACTATCAACTAATGTATCACTCAACTGTTATTTTTACCAAACAATACTTAAGACATTTTTGGATTTTAATCTTATTAACGATTATTCTACGTCCATTAATCGATTATTCTAAGAGTCATATCTAATTAATCAATTTTTTATATCTCACTAATAAATTAATCTTAATACTTTTGTTTTTTAGCCTATTAATCAATTAACCTATTTATACTAATCGACTTAGCAACATAGAAATAAAACTGAACTCACTTAATCACACTAAATAATCAAAAACACACACTAGAACATATTTGTCACCATGCGGCATATAAGTCACACATTTAAATACGTATACACAGTAAATATCAACAATAACACATGATTCATTAATTAATCATATTATAAAAGTTTAATGAATTAAATATACGATGGTCCTGTATGTAGATGAATTTCGTTTTATCTCCTGTGGTATTTTTTCTTTTGGATTTCTTCTGTAGTATTTCTTTAATTCTTTCTAAGCGTATAATTTGAATATTGAATTTGAAAGGATAAATAAAAAATTACAAGCAATAATTTGGACACTTATGAAACAAAAAATATATAATTTGTTTGATTGTAAGCAATATATATTGAAAGGAGAACAAAAATTCTCAAACTCGATTACAAAAGAACGAGATAAAGTTTGACAAAAGAAATATTACATTCCAATTAAAATCTATGATATAAAATAAAAGATTTTTGTTAAATTCGTAAAAGTTATAATTAAAATGTATAATATTATGTATGAAAGACTATCTTTAAATCAAAGCTTTGATGTTCCACACCATATCTAGAACGTTTCAATCTAGACATAGAATTTTAACATCTGAAGCGAAATTAAATTTTTTTTTTTTTACATAGGATAATTTGATTATCACCTATAACACATGAACACATGAGTATTGTATATTTAATCAAAGTGTAATTATGTGGTGTTTTTTTAATGCTTGATTATTTTGAAATGAAATAAAATTCTCTATATTGCATTTTAAAACATTTTTTTGGGTAAATAATATCTCATTTAGTGGTATCAAAGTTTTATTTAAAAGAACTAAAAAGCTCAAGAAATAAAGGATTTAAAATGTATTGATGGTTTGAAATTCTTAACATTTTACATTTTTCGTAATTTGTAAAATAGTTTTTTTTTCTTCATTTTATTAAAATGTTTAATGAAAAGATTATAAAGAGAAGACACAAATTATAATTAAGAACTTATGATAAAGGATAGAGAAAAACATTTGCATAAGGCAAATGATTTGATATTTGAGTATGTAATTTGTGTCATGTTACTTATTTTGAATTTAAATGTTTTTGTTTTTTTAATATTTTAGTACTCATTAAAATTTTTAGTTTTTTGTTCCTATATAAGATTTTGAATGTGGCACTATAAAGTCTTCTATTTAGGATTTTGTATGTGGCACTTTAATATAATTAATAATTAATAAATTAAACAATATTGATTATATAGTCAATTGGTCTCAAAAAAGTTTGAATCCATGACCTTACAAGTATGATATGAGATTTTTTAAATAAATATCATTTAAATAATTATGTAATAGTATAGTATAAATTTAAAATATGTAATAAATTAATTAATAATATGAATTAATGAAATAAATGTGTAAGGATGTGAGAGATATATGGAAATGAAATGATTGTGTAATTGAAATAATTTACTTTTTAATATTGCAAAAAGTATCATGTATTAAATATATTTGTTGCAAACATTTCAATAAGAAATACTTACAACCTAGTTGTAGGGCGTTTTCTTTACAAGCCAAGTGTCATGGGTTCTGACTTTTTTTTTTGATCAATTTTTGAACTCTTTAAGATAGTGAGATATTTGTTTGTTCATATCAATATTAATATTTTACGCGTATTTATTTTAAAATAAATATAAAAGATAAGAACAAAATTGCTATATAAAATTTTTATTTTATTTTAAGAAAGACATATTTTGATTTATATATATATATATATATATATATATATGTATCACAAATATAATTTTTGCATATATAAAATTATTTGAATGAATAGTATATTTTGTTGTATGTAATATTATTATTTTTTTATATTATTTATAAAAATATTTGGATCAAAAGACAATTTGTTTTTGTTTACAAAAAAAAGAAAAAATTAAGATTCACTCATTAATTTAAAACTAAAATTTGACATTAATAACGTATATTAGTGAAATATGTTAGAACAAGCACAAAACTTGAAGGGTGAATCAATGGAGAAAATGGTTAATTATGGAAAGTGAAAGTGAAAGTGGAAGAGGATTGAACACTTAAGTACCCAGAAATTTACACCCGTCGATGCACGAAGTATAACTGTTGATTAATTATATTGCTTGAATAGGCTTAAAGATGCCATTCGGAAAATTTACAGTTTCGTTGGAGATGGGCTTATAGATGCCATCCAAAGCAAATGTTGATAGGAGTATCAGAATGAGTCTACATTCGACAGTATCTGAGAAGTATACTAGAATGAGTTTGTGTTCGATTGTATCTAGAAGATGTGTTGGGGAGTGTTATAATGAATCTTATGTCTTGATTGTATCTTAATGGTGTTCTAGAATGAGTCTATGTCTTGAATGTATCTGAAGAATATATCAGAATGAGTATCAGAATGAAATCCATCTCGATCGTATCTGAACCCTCACTACGCCAAAAATGATTTTTTGTATCACCTAATTTAATAGCACTTTTAAAAAAAATGCTATTAAAATGGAAAAAACACATTTATAATAGCACTTTTTAATCGGGCGCTATTATATAATACAGACTATGTAATTATGATAGCACTTTGTACCAGAACGCTATTATTAAACTTCTTTAAGATAGCATTTTGTATAAAACGCTATTATTTGACTACCTATATAATAGCATTTATTAAAAAGTGCTATGTTATATATAATAATGAATTAATTAATTAATTGATAAAAAAAAAAAACAAAACACATTTTCATTTTTAGTCAGATTTAGCTCACTTCTAATTATCTAAAACTAAAAGAAAATGCAAATAAAATTGAATTGGGGTTAGGGTTAAAGAATTGAGTCTTCATCTTCTCACAAAAATACAACTCCCTCTTCTCTGATTCCTCAAGCTATACGCTAATCGCTCACCATATCATGGTCTCTGACTTGTCTCTCAACGAATTCTACTCAGACGTGGTGGTCCACTTCTTTCTCTGGTGATCTCTGACTCACCACTCAACGGCGTCTCCATCTTTGTCATCGCGTATCGACCTCTTCTCAACCTTCAGTTGGAGTTTTAATCCACGAACTCCACACCGGTATCGATTTAGCTTCTACGGACTTAAACTAGACGCCAAGCTTGAAGAAACATAGATATGCAAGATTTAGAGGAGATGATACTTACCGATCGGATTCGCTCCGATGGCATTTCGTAGCGACGAAGATATCGAATAGAAATCCAGATATTCTTAAGAAATAGTTCAAGTACGCTTTCTCTTCGCTCTCTTCTTCGTGATTTTGAACCTTATGTTGATGTGCGTTGCATTTTTTGTGAAGCTGAAACTTAATGATGATCGAAGATTGAAGTAGAGAGTAGAGCATTGAGTACTTTGTTGTTGAGGGTTACGGTGTGATGAATGAGGAACTGTGAAGAATTTGCGGAAGATGGTGAAGATGCAGATTGAGAAACAGTTATGGAAAGAGAATGCAGAGAGAAATTTTCTCGAGTAACTGATGAAGAATGATGAAGATGAGAGGAGAAGAGATAGTTTGAGAGGGTTTTTGTGTGATTCTTCAGCGATTATGAAGAATAATGAGAATGGATTGAGGTGGTTCAGAGAAAGATCAAGCTCTGAGTTTTTTTTTTGGTATTTTCTTATTCTCCAATGGTTGTTGAAGAATGAAGGTGAAGTAGAATATGAGAAGAACGAGGGTGTTTTAGCTATTTTTTGGTGATTCTTCTGCAAAATCCAGAATGAATGAATCTCCAGTGAGTTTTTCTGTATTAATTTGTTATGAGTTTGTTAGGAAATAGAAAATCTTAACCTTTTGATTAAAGTTAGTTACAAAAAGTTGAAGGTTGAGATTAAATCTGGTATGAGGTTAGTTTGGGAATTCCCATCTTTTGAGTTTTCGCTCTGATTTTATATTTTTGTGTTTCCAATGTTTTCCTTGATTTCTCTATTTTGAGTGTGAGGCAGTTTTTGTTTGGTAAAGCTTTGATACGGCAGTGATATTATTTAGGCTCGATTTTTTCATTCGGTTTTGTTAAATTGAATGAGCAGGGCTATAACATAGTTTGATCCAATGGTCCATGATGCAAAGTTGAAACTAGCATGGTGTAGCAAAGTTCATGGAGTTTTGAAGCATGAAGTTTGACATGAACTCGTAGAATTAGGACATTCATTAACTTGCAACATTTTTATAGTTTTACTTTAAATGTGACACAGGTGATATGGCTGGTTTTCGGATGTAATTGAATTTTGGTTTATGGACTTTGATGTAATATATTCATAAGTTAGATTGAAATTGTCACTTTTATGTAATTTCGAATGGTTGAAAGTGTATATGTTCTTAGTTCTTGATTTTGTAATAGCCTTGACTGGCCTCCGACGACACGCCGGCGACCGCGAGCGACAACTCAATTGCTTCTGCAACAACACAATATCGACGCACTCCGGCCCCCTGTAGCGTCACCGGCAGCCACCACTGGGCGTTCGACTCCGACCTCCATCTCCAGCCACTCTCGGTTTTGCTTGCAGGTAAGCAATTTTTTTCCTCTATTTTCTCGATTTGTTGTCATTGTTGTTGGAGAACTTAAATGCTTGATTTGAATCTTGGATTTCTATTTTGTTGTTGTACATAGTTAAGCATTTTTAAAATTGGAATTCTGTCAAAGAAATTGCAGAAGTTGAGTCATTGGTCTGAAACATTAAGATGTTTTATCGCTTATATAAATCAAATTTCCAATATTGTCTTTCAAAGTTGTTATATTCAGTAGCTCCTAACTATGGCACTAAAAGAAAGGTAGCTTAATATCAAAATCATGCATCAAGATCATCTGCTGCAGTAGATTAAAAATTGCATGAGATCAAGCCCTTAAATATACTTTATTGTATATAATATAAAAACTGCAACTCAATAAATTGAATGACAAAAGTCTATATGTTTATGCTTCTCATTTTGTTTCTCATTTTATATGTTTATGCTTCTTCAGTTATGATAGAAGTCTATAAATTTATTGGTGTTTAAGGAAACTTTACACACATTCCACATAACTTAGGTGTTTCAATGTCTTTTGTTGTTGATGTTTCATGTATCCCGATGTTTTCAGGAGAGCCAGAATTCAGTCAGTATTGGATTGGCATCACTATAATTTATGATATGGAGCACAGGTACTTGACGCATCTAAATCCAAGAATTTCCGGTCTCTTTTAAGTAATGTCATTTTCTTTGAGCAGTTGAGTTTGCTCTAAGTCTATGGAAACTTCTAAGATAGATAAGAATTGTAGTGTATTAGAATGGCTACAGACTACTAACTATAAGAAAATTTAATCATAAAATTTTAGTTTGTTCTATGGAATCTTGACTCAGTTGTAAGGTTGGTATCGGTGCACTGGTGCTGGTTTTCGTGTTGTAAAGTTTGTAAACCATAATAAGCTTCCTCTATATACTCTTCATGGTTAGAAGTAGTATAAAATTATTTTAATAATTCACCACTAACTACCTGAGTTTTGTTGATCAATTTATCTATGTAGTTGTATGATTCTTGCTGCTGCCACTTGAAGACAAATGATACGCTGAACTAAATCCCTGAAGCATTACGTGGGTCTTACAATCAACATTCCTATTAACAACAGAAAATGAATATCATTGAAGTCTCTTTCAATCCCTGCTACTGAATTTCTTTCTTCTACTGTATATTGGCTAGTTTCTTTTATTACAAATTGGCCTAGTTCTTGTAAAACAAATGATACTGCAGTTTCTGCCATATCATTTCAATGTAGTATGGTACTGCAGTCTCTGCCATATCTTCGCAGGTCTTGCCTTGATGATGATGAGGCATTCTTGACAACTGCAGACTCAGCAATAAGGCTGCTCTCTAAAGCAACTAGGACAGTTAGTGAGTGGAAGGGTCTGGAATACAGAGCAGCATTTCCAATCCTTAAACCTGCCGGTGCTAATTTCTACCCCCTGACATGGACAAAATGGTACCATAGAAAAATTCAGATTTGTTTGGTTTGTGATAGAATATCATGATGTTGTCTGATCAATGGAACCAATCCCATATAGTGAGAAAGGATTTTTGTCGTCATGTAAAGAAGCTATTTTATCAAAACATTTGGTTTGATTTATAAAAAAGATGAAAACTTGTGTTTTGCAGGAGTTCAATTTATGGAATGACAATTTAGCAAAGGATCAACAGACAGAGGCAACAAGCTATTTCACTGTTATTAAAAGGCACAGTGAATTTATTTTAGATTCTGGTCTGTCCAATGATAAAGTAGCTTCTTCTAAGGATCTGTATATAGTTCCTTATTCTCAAGAGTACAAGTCTCTTCTTGCAAAATCTGCTAAATTATTTCATAAAGCTGGAGACATTACCAACTCAACAAGGTATATTGTTCTTTGATCCATTCCCTTATTAAGGGGTCAATTTTCAGCTACATGCTAAACTACTTAAGTTGTTGGTCAATAACGCATTGTTTCCAAGTGTAGTTTGAAGAAGCTGCTACATAGCAAGGCTGATGCTTTCCTTTCAAACGATTATTATGAGTCTGACATAGCCTGGATGGAATTGGTTAGTCAATATTGCCTAGTTTACTTTTTATGATCCAAAAAATAGTAGTTGTCAAGCTGGTGAGATGTGTTGCCAACAGTAGCAAGTTGTTGGCTAACAATTTTTTATCAATCTATGAACTTGGTGTTGGTTAATGATTCTTTATAATTATAGCTATTATTTTCTCTTTGTAAATGGTGCATAATAGAATCAGCCTAATAATTGTAAATATTGTGAAAAGTGAATAATATATCTCAAGTATGAATAATGTACATGCACTAATCTGTTTATAGGCTATTATAATGTAATGAGTCTGAAATGGTGAATACTTTTATACACTACTTGAGTTTCAAGTTTAGACAGAACTTATAATCTTATTTTGACATGGTGAATACTTTTGTTGGAGTTCTTCTACTATTTCATCTGTGTTGTGCTCTATGTTTGATCCCATCATTTATCCTTGGTTAATGTGTTTTTTCCGAAACAATGCGCTTGTGTAATTAAGGTAATGAGTTTTATTTTGTATACAATTTCTGAAAAATGATATTATTTGGCATTCTCTTCTCTATGCAGGACTCTAAGTTGGATATCACAATAGGGCCATATGAAACTTACGAAGACAAACTTTTTGGATATAAGGTGATTACTGAAAACCAGGCTTTATGCCGCATAAACAATTCAACGCTTTTGGATCTATGAGTTCAACGCTTTTGGATCATGAAGGTGGTTACTACATGGGATTGTTTTGTTATCCTTTCTTATTTTTTTGGTGTTTTGTTTAGAGAATTTGATTGTATGTTTTTGGATTTAGATTGAAGTACTCATAGATGGGCATCTACAAATTTGGCTATGCAAACGCCCTCTTAATATTCTATATGTTATGATATTTGGAAACAATAGGATTTGGTAATTTAAAATGTTATTTGGTATTTGATGGATCATAATATATATGCAATGAGTAACTTAAAGCGTTATTTGTGTTGAATTGAATATAGTTATTTTATATTTACACCAAAAAAAATGATTGTGTAAGAAAAAATATTGTACTGTACTTATTAAAAATATTGTACCAAATATGTACCATTTATTAGCACTTTATTTGAAAGCGCTATCAAACATATGTTATATATTAGCGCTTTTTGTTTAGAGTGCTATAAAAAAACAAACAACAAACATGCAAAATAATGACTTTGATAGCACTTTAATTAAAACGCTATTATAAATTGGTACTTTAATAGCGCTTTTAAAGTGCTATTAAATAAGAAATATTTACAATAGTGGCGCGGTTAATAGCACTTTTAAGCGCTATCAAAAACAAAAAAAAAGCGCTATTAAATAGCTTATTTGGCGTAGTGCCTATCTAGAAGAGAATCTAGAATGAGTGTCAAAATGAAATCCATATCTAGATCGTATCTGACCCGTATCTAGAAGATGTAGTGGAATGAGTATCAGAATGACATCCATATTTTGATCGTATCTGACCCGTATCTAGAATATGTACTAGAATGAGTATCAGAATGACATCCATATCTGGATCATATATGACCTGTATCTAGAAGATGTACTGGAATGAGTATCAGAATGACATCCATATCTAGATCATATATAACCTGTATCTAGAAGATGTACTGGAATGAGTATCAAAATGACATCCATATTTGGATCATACCTGACCCATATCTATAAGATGTTTTGGAATGAGTATCAGAATGAATTTGTACCTTGATTGTATCTAAATTATATCTGGAAGAGAATCTGGAATGAGTGTCAGAATGATATCCATATCTGGATCGTATCTAACGTGTATCTAGAAATGTATTGGAATGAGTATCATAATGAATATGTATCTTGATCGTATATGAATTGTATCTGGAAGAGAATCTGGAATGAGTGTCAGAATGAATCTATATCTAGATCGTATCTGAACTGTATCTATAAGATGATCTGGAATGAGTGTCAGAATGAATCTATATCTAGATTGTATCTGAAATATATCTGGAAGATAATCTTCGACTAACTATATTTGAAAAATGTGTTTATCAGAATGAATGACTATCTGATTATATCTGAAAGATGATAAACTGTTGACAATCTCTATCTATTTGAGAACTAACCTGAAAAGACAAAGTTAGTTTTATGCAATGGTGTGATGTATGTAATGCATTACGTAATGATACTCTCAAAATAAATGAGAATGTTATATGTGTTTCGTATGCACATGTTATGATATTTTGTAAATGATGTATGGATGCACTATGTTATTGAAGCGTATGGTAGCTTCTTGTAACAATGACTAGTCGGGGAAAATAAATCTCCGATTGTTTCTGGGGATGAAGAAAGTAATTCTTCAATTTTGTTTAGAACGACCTTACTGGGGATTTTCGACTTCTGCTTGGGGATAGAAGCATTCTAGGATTCTTATGTACTCTGACTGAGGATAAAAGAGATGGATATTCCTCTGATGCGATTGTAATATGGTGGGAGAACTGACTTGTTTTTGCGTTTTATCGCAAATGTTGCGCATAGCAAGAGTCGCCACCGGCTTTTCTTTTATCCAATAAGGAAAAGGTGAAAAGAGCAGGAAAGACCTTGAGATTATTGAGTTCGGGGGATAAGTTATGAAAAGGGAAGGTGTTAGCACCCTTTTCATTCGTAGTTGTAACACCCTAATTCTACCCCGACAATTATATAAATAAATCAGAGTTATAAAATCAATCATTCTTACAAACGAATCGGGATGCCACAAATTCATCTTTCAAAACTCATTGCATTCATCGTGGATATATAACACTTTTAAAACATAGGATGAACCATCATCATAACATATTTAATTAAATAATTCAACATCTACGCAGCGGAATTCTTAATAACATCTTTATCATCATTACAGCAACTTTAAACCAACAAATACTTAATAATAATCAACTTAAAGTTCAACGACGGAATTAATCAAAAATCAAAAAGCAACAAGCATTCATCCCCCCGAGTGTTACATATCAGAGCAATAACACTGACTCGAACTATTGAAGGTATACAACCTTCACTCTCGATTACCTGCACGTTGCCAACATAAGGGTAACATTCAAACGGAAGGGATGAGATATCTAACAATATAATAAAGCGTATGATAATTAATATATTAAATTAGATCACATAACATCACAACTTATTATCTCGTAATCAACAATAATCACCACAATAATACACATTCACAACATCAATACACACTTCTTTATGCAACCATATAATGCGACTCAATATTATGCAAATGCATGTGGTACCATTGGAGTAGAACTCCCATCTCAAAAATTTGCCAATTAATAGAGGCATAAACAAGGCATAAGCCTTCATCTTAATATTCTCCAATACAGGCCATCTCAACGAGCATAAGCTCCATCTCAAAATGCAATGTATGCGACACAATCAGGAATGTAATAACAACACCATAATTGACAACATCTCAATACAACACCATCGTTGGCCAAAGGCCTACATCTCAAAAAGCATCTCATCATCTCTTCATCAATATCATTCGTCATAAATCATCACACATCATATATATACATCATAATTCATCAGAAAAAATCTCATTAACA